TTGCAGCACGTCTCTTAATTTGGTTCTATTAATGCCCTAATGGTGTATCTTTTAGGGACCTGGAGACAAAGACGTGGGAGCACCTATGAGAGCATGCCTCTCAGCACTAGTTAGAAATAACAGTGATGAAAGAAAATATCCTGTATCAGATCCTGACACATCATATGCTGTATCCACAGTAGCCTCCAGAACACCAGCCCTGTTGTCTTGTATATCTTATGATCATCATGCTGCTGTAAAAATGAACCATAGTTTGTCCCCCAGCCAGTGCTCCCCAGGCGATGTTGTTGTGCAACGACAAAATGAAGGGCAGGATGGAGAGGGATGTCTCCAGAGAAACAGATCTCTGATTAAGCCTGCTTGTTCCCCCCATTCTTTGCCCCAGGTGCTCTGTACAGCCCCAGCCTTATATTAAACCAGTGTAACACCAGCAGTTTCCAGTGCTCTGATTCTGACCCAGAAGATATTATCTTCCTGTCCAGGGGCTGCAGGAACTTTGTGTCACTTCCAGCAGCATCTGAAAATCAGTGTCATGACTTGTTGCGGTTTTACTTCTGTTTTAACCATTTCACTATGGTAGAAAAGTAAATTATTTCAGGAGGGATGATATTATTCAGAAGCACAAGCCTCTACATAGGCATTCACAAATGGAAGATCATCTCTCCTTCACATTCATATATATTCATTTTGTTTTGGCGATCACTCATGATAAGTATTGTTCTTGAATGAAAGACAGTGAAAATGAAGGTTTTGTTAGAGAAAAAAGCATCCAAATAGATAAAGCAATATGTCCTTATTAAAATATATGCATTTCTTGGCTACACATAATTTTGACAGAGGAACTCATGCCTCTATTTAATATAAATAAAACATGGACAGTTAACTGGGTATTTTACACAGTGATATTTCAATTGCATTTCATAAAACTCGGGCTGACTCTGGAATGAATAATTTATCCAATTAGACTTTTTTTTTTTTTTTTTTTAATGGAACCTAGCTATCCTCTTATCTGTCTCACTGGTTTAAAAATTGAAATAATCTTATTAGAAACCATGTGAGTGCAAAACTGGTGTCAATTTTTTGAGAATGAGGAGGAAAATATCCAGGGGTTAATCACAGGTTTCCAAGCTGATTTTTGTTGTTTGGACTTCATTTAATGCTAATGTCCAAAAATTGAATGAGTTCTGCAGTTAGTTGGTATAGACTCCAGACAGGAAATGTGAAACTTGTCTGTGGCTGATCCCTGTATTCTGGTGATTCTGATTCTGGTGCTACATTTGTTGTGTTTAAGTCTTCTTGGGGCTAATTTTGCTTTAACCTGTAAATTACTTTCAAATGCGATTCAGTGGGGGTTCAGATGGGTAAGAACAGCCTGAATTCTGTTTTGAAGGTGACGGAATCAGTAGAAATGTGAAAATAACACAGGAAAATTTTATTTAAATATATACAATTCTTGTATAGGCTTCCCACTTTTAATATACAAATTAATGATACTATGGTTGCTAGGTACCTGGCGGAGGACTTCTGTCTTCCTCTCATCACTTTATTCACAAGGAAAATTTCCAGATTATTTCATCCAGGGAGGCTGTTTACCTTATATCATTCTAATCCAATGCTATAGCTGAAAAAAAAAAATTATATAGATACATATATATGTTTTGGCTTTGTTTTTTTTGTTTGTTTGTTTTTTGTTTTTTTTTTTTTTTTTTTTTTCTGGATGAAGGCTTACAAAATTTATAGCTGTACAGCATCTCCATGAGGAAAACTTCAAAATTTCACAGGTAGGGAAAACATAGGCTTAGACACAGGAACACGTTTCTGTGGTTAATATCTTACTTAATGCCAGCTGATCCAAGGTAATGGTTTGTGCATATGCTCATAAAATGTGAAATAATTGGCTGAGTGCTCTTTTAATGCAGGTAAAATAATCCTGAATTATCTTCCCTTCTCTATGGGCTAAAAGTATGTACACATATTTACTGGAGTTCAGATGACGTCTCTGACTTGTTTGTGTGTCTGAGCCCAGGAACACAAGAGAAGAAAATTGCTGGTCTGAGCTTGTGCAGCACCTGCAGAGAGCCTAGAGGTCCTGCTTTTGTGCTTCTAATCTGCTCTGTCCTCCCCACAAGAAAATTAACTCTGGCACTAGTAGGAAGCTGGAGTCATGAGCTTAATTTTCATTTCGTTTAAGGATCACATAAACCTAAGGGCACAGAAGAAACAACATTGACATCAATATAAACTAACAAGCTCATCTTCAAACTGGGTTGACAATGTAATATGGATGGAAAGGAAGAATCTGTATGTTTAACTTCTGGCATTTATCCCTGCGTAGGTTTCCTAATTTATTCAGCCTCTGTGTGTTGAGGCGGGGGACCTCCTATTCTTAGAAACTAATAACAAAATTGGAAATGCAACAAAATCTGGAAGAAATGGCTGTGGAAAGGTGAATAACTAGAAGCCTCTGAGACTTATAGCTGAGAATTTGGTTTCAAAGGGGTTTTGCAATACATTTTACATCAATGTAAACATCACTGTCACTTTTGGGGCCTTTTATTAGCATCTTATGTGTTTATCAGTCTTCTCACTGTACCTTGCTTTCAAATCAAATACAAGTTCCAGAACGTTCTGTTATACAGTGCTTTCTTCTTCGCACAACCAATCTAACTACCCCAAAATTCTGGAGAATATAAGAGATTTTTTTCCCCAAACTTTGATGTTGGTGTTCCCTTCCTTTTGGGTTGACATTTGCAGTGAAATTTTTGCAACTGTTTCTAAAACTTCTGCACACAGAGAGGAAGAAGCAGGTCACTGGGCTATAGTAAGGTCTTACAGAACATAGAATCCTACAACAGAGGCCAATGTTGTGGTTTAGGTAGGGCAGATTGCTAAATACTCATCTAGCATCTCATGACGCAATGAGAGGTGATCACCATGTGATATTTATGAGTCATCCCTAGAGGGACAGGGGATCTGGTTGTGTGAGGTGGTAGGAGAGAGGATCCAGGGCATCCAGGCTGCCTGCAGCCGTTGTCTGCTTGCATCCATCAGCTCTCACTGCCTCCTGAAAATCCACACAGCAGGAATTAATAGTTCCACACAGCTCTAGTGACAGGTACAATTGTCACAAGAAAGAAAATGAAGTGACAGTGTGGAAAAGCTCCTTTAAACAGCTTCTAATTAGCTCTGAAGTAATTTTCTGTCAGTGTACTCATTTGTGAAAGGCGTAGTGTGTTGGCACCGCTCATAAAACCCATTACCCACCTTCCTCCTACCCAGCACATTTGAAGACACTGTGCCTGCATTCCCCTGGTTCTCTCCCCTCCTTATATATGGTCTGTTAGTAGATTTTATTGAGTCCTGATGATGTGAAAGAGACCCCAAAGTTGTATTGGATTTGTGTGTCAAGGTTTGTAGTGGTGAGGCTACAGGAGTGGCTTCTGTGAGAAGTTGCTGGAACCTTCCCCCATGTCCAGTAGAGCTGATGCCACATGGTGCCAAGACGGACCCACCGCTGGCCAAGGCCGAGCCCATCACTGATGGTGGTAACACCTCTGGGATAACATATTTAAGAAGAGGAAAAAGTTGCTGTGCAACTGGGCAACTGCAGCTGGAGAGAGGAGTGAGAATATGTGAGAAACAACTCTGCAGACACCAAGGTCAGTGAGGAAGGAGGGAAGCAGCCGGAGCAGGGGGATGTGCCTGAAGGAGACTGACCCCATGGGAAGCCTGAGCCGGAGCACCCGTGGAGAGAGGAGCCCACGCTGAGGCACATTTGCTGGCAGGACTTGTGACCCCACGGGCGACCCACGCTGGAGCAGTCTGTGCCTGAAGGACTTGTGACCCCACGGGTGACCCACGCTGGAGCAGTCTGTGAAGAGCTGCAGCCCGTGGGCAGGATTCATGTTGGAGAAGTTCGTGGAGGACTGTCTCCTGTGGAAGGAACCCCACGGTGGAGCAGGGGAAGAGCGTGAGGAGTCCTCCCGCTGAGGGAGGAGCAGCAGAGACAACGTGTGATGAACTGACCACAACCCCCATTCCTGTTACCCTGTGGGGCTGGTGGGGAGGAGGTAGAGAAAACTGGGAGTAAAGTTGAGCTTGGGAAGAAGGGAGGGGTAGGGGGAAAGTGTTTTTAAGATTTGGTTTTATTTCTCATTATCCTCCTTTGGTTTCATTGGTAATAAGTTATAGTAATTTCCTCAAGTCAAGTCTGTTTTGTCCATGATGGTAACTGCTGAGTGATCTCCCCACCCTTAACTCACAAGCCTTTTGTTATATTTCTCTCCTGTGTCCGGCTGAGGTGGGCAGTGATAGAGTGGCTTTGGCGGGCACCTGGCCTCCAGCCAGGGTCATCCCACCACAGAAGCCTTGCCTCAAAGTCACTCATCAAGTGTGTTAACTCTTGGAGAATTTAAGACTGGCATTGGATGTTTCCATTGCCTTTCAGATGAATCTTTTTGCAAGAGAAAGATGGAGAGATCCCTCTGTGTACTTCCTGAACCGTCAATTTTTTAATACCCATAGCGCTCACCCAAAATGGCCAAAAATTCAGTGTTCTAGTGGCAGAACACCATCTCTGTATCCAAAATATGATATTTCATGGAATGCAGAAGATACTTTTTAAAATTGAAATAAAACTTTTTTTTTAAGAAAACTGAAATTTCTGAACCTGAATTTCCACAGGAAATGAGTGAATATACCTTCTTTTCTTATTCTGCCTAGTTATCTGTAGAGCATCTTGCTCATCAATCAATGATCCCCATGGCATTCTCTCTGAAGGGACTGATGTGTGTCCATAATTATGGGAAAGGTATTTTAATCTGGTTTATTTTATAACTTGGTAGTGACACCCTGGAACCCTGCTGGCACATGCAGAAACCAAGGAATGTCATGCTTGTGCCACTTGTTCACACATTGCTGGGCTGAGCTGGAGAGGATTTGTCTTAGCATTTGCCTAAAGCACTTGATCAGTGAAGGTTCTGCAGGGTGTAATGATCATCACGTGAAAATAGTCCTTGGACAAGAAGGGAGTGTTTTATTCTTCATTTAACTGCTTCTTAGAAAATTAGGGGTTTATCTCCAATCTGTGATTACTTCATTGACATCATCAAAGAAAATCATACGCACACTGGCTGTCTAGTATGTCTGTGTGGTCCTGAGTTCTATAAGCATCTGCGTTGCGCCCAGAGACCAAGGTTCATATTACTGCTTCAAAAATCCTTAATTCAAAGGGGAAAAGCTCCTAATAGAGGAACTAAGAAGACCTACACCAGAATAAAGTACTTATTCAAGAGCTAGAAGACTGAAATTAATGTCCCCAAATTGGAAAGACAAGATCTAACCTTCACCTGCTGCATATCAAGAAATTGTTTCCACTGTCAGTTTTCAAACCACCCTGGAGTGATGTCTCTCTGGAACAAAAATGCCATTCTAGTGCTAAGAAACCTGAACCGAAATTGCTGAATCCCTGAAAAATATCTGCATTGGATTAACTGACCATTTTCACATTGAAAACATTTTACTGGGAAATCCTCATCTAACTCTCTGCTCAACTTCTTTACCTTCTCTTTCTTGTTTGCCAAGTCCTTTGATGTCATTCAGCTGAAGCTAACGGTGGACTCTGTGCCCTCCTAGGAATTCAAGCTACAACTACAACTGTACTACAGCGTGTCTTGTACACCTGGGAGTGAACTAGGCTCTGAGTTACTATACTTATATACAGCGACAGGCACATGTGAATCGCTGTAAAGGCTTCTGGAGCAAACTCTCCCCCAGACTGCACCTTGCAGAGGTGGCTTTCCTCCTTGGCCTTTGCAGTGCAGCCACGAGATGCCCGTCTGCAGGCACTCCCTGCCCTGCAGGGCACTGCCTTTGGCCGTAGCGGCTGCGACTCGGGACAACCGTCAGGGTTGGAAGCCAAAAACCCTCTGCAAGCCCCGGTGAACCCGCTCCACCTGTCCCTCATGCCGGGTGTATCTTCCGCTCGTTGTCAGCGCTCGTTAAGACCGAGGGCATCTCTCTCACTTGCTCTGCCTTCTCCGTGTCTCTTGTTTCACTGGAACAGAGTCAAACGGAGATGGGTCCACGCAGGGTCTGGAACAGATCAGCAGGTCAGCTGGGAATGCCTGTCAGGCAGCCAGTGTGCTCCCTCGCTTCTCCCTGGCTTTCTTTGAGGTTTGTAGCTCTTCTGCTTTCTTGTTGCTATTGCCACCCTCCCCACACTCCCCCTGCCACACACCAAGCACCCAGACCTTTCCCAAGCACTTTACTTAATCCCCAGGATTCTTTATATAGGAATTAATCTTCTCGTCACAGTGGGAGAGCTCGGAGGGAGGGGGGTACATTTATCTCTCCTGCTGAGGTCTAGAGTTGCATTGCTGTGATTATTGGTGGTAGCAGTGTGCATGTGTCTGGGGATCTGTGTTTAGCTTCTTCATTTCTTAAACAGCACAGGGGCAGCAGCAAGGCAACTTGGTAGCTTTGCTTTCTAGCTGCATTGTGTCTGCTGCTAAAAAGAGGGAGTGTGAGTGGGGAGCAGCATGGCAGAGCAAGAAGCCAGTGGCTTGCAAGTCCTTCTCTCCACCCTCCAGGTAAGAACAGCTTGAACTAACGAGAGAGGTGCTTGGGCTTGTTTTCTTCTTTAATTCACCAGCAGTGACTTGGGCTGAGGTTGTTCGTACGAGCTCCCTGCTGTCTTGTCTCTAAAAGCATCAGCGTGCAGGAGTCCTGACCGGCACCTCCCACCCTAAAAAACCTTTACGAAATGAAGTTTCACTATTCGGAGATGAACGCTGGCAATTACTGCTATGCATCAATCACTGAGCCCTGTCTTAGTGCAGAGCCTCAGCTCCCAAGATCTCACTGTGTTCAGCGGGGAGCAAGGGAGGTGTGAGGAATCGGCTGCTTTGCAATGAATGGGACCTGACAGCGCTGCCAGTCTGCGAGCTCGGCAAGCCCCAGCAGCTCACGCTGCTACTCTGAGGGCTGAGGGGACGAATAAACAGATCTGCCTGGAAGCAGAAAGTTCCTCCTTGTCAAATTGTCTTCACCAGGACCCTTAAGCGCTCACAGGGAAGTGACAAAAAGTTGAGGCTGAGATCGGTGGGCGTTGGCTTTGGGTGTGCTCAGTAAATTCTCCCAAGGAGCAGAGGGAAGGGAAGCATCCCGGTCCAGGATCATACTTGTTGCACAAGTTCGGCCATGGGATGAAGGAGAGGTATCTCTTCCTATGCCTGTAGGCAATCCCCTCAGTTCTGTTTTCCTCCAGCATGGATGCTTTCTTCCTGGTCTTGCAGGAGAAGATGTCTAAGCTGAGGCATGAGCTACTTTACGAAATGGGCTGTGCGTTTTGGGAGGGAGCCTGTGCTTTCATGAACCATCATTTTGTCATGAGGGGTGGGTGGGAATTGCTTTGCCAAGACAAGCTGCTTGCATAAAAAACATCTTTTAGATAGTTATGGTGAAATGCCAGTTGTCTGTACTTCTCAGGTGCCCTGAGCCCCTGTGTGCAGCTGTGCTGACATGGGTCAGAGCCCCATGGGGACAAGACTTTCACATCTGAGGCAGCAGCATCCTTGTCAAGGTGTGAGGTTGTCAAAACCTCACACATTGCAGAAGCATAAAATGAGGGATAGGGTGTGTATAACAGACTTACCCTTCTGGTTCAGCACAAGGATCCACGTCTCCCAGCAGAAGGTTTCTGTGACCAGCTGCAAGTGTGTAGAGGAGGTTATAAAACCCCATGGTACGCAACTGGCTTCGAGACTATAGTTGTGAGGGCTGACCAGCCTTGACATTTGTATCCAAGCTTATGTAACTATCAGCAACTTTTATTTCTTATATAATTTTCAAACCTTGGTTTGCCCTTTATGACACCCTGTGGCAGTGAATTCTGCAGGTAAACTGGCACACTGAAGAAGAATGTCCTATTGTCCTTTTGTTTTTTTTTGGCAGTGTAACTTGTTTGCCTTATGTTCTTACAGTTTATTTAATGCATATTTTATACTAGACCGTGTTTTTGCTCTAGCTAAGATATGGTCCTCTCCCCATTACTTTGGATAATTGAGAGCTGAGTGTACATCTCCTGTTTTTTCTTATGTTCTCTACCATTAACAGTTCCGGTGCTCTCTGCATAATCTGGGAGCATAACTGGACAAGGCCCAGGATTAAACTGGAAGCTGTAGTTTAAAATCACATATGTGATTCATTGACAAAGCTACATGGAGGGCTAGACTATAAATAGGAACGGCGGAGGTAAAATAGGTGGTGGTACTGGTAAAATCGCAAAGTAGCACAGCATTTATCCCCAGTTTTACAAAATCTAACTTTGATACAAGGCCCTTGTTTCCAAAACTTCTGTATTAACTTAGAGAAGAGCAAAAGGCTTTCTTGTTATATCTTCAGTTAAATACAGAGGTTTGAGTGCTAGAGGACAGAAAGTGGTTGATGACAACTGTAACACTGGTATGTTCTGATTCATCTCCTTCCCCTACCTCCACCCAAAACATTACCAACATAACTCTGTAACGCCATCACCTATTTCTGCTACAAAAATCGAGTGATAGTAAAGACCTTTACTTGACACAGTTGGAAAGCTCTGGCCTGGGAAATAATAACTTTTGTTGATATTTGCATTTGCTAATAACATCTCTCCACACTTTGTTATTTTCTGCAACAGCTGTCCAATACATAGTTACTTTGTTTTGGTGTCCTGCTGGATTGTCAGTGCTGGTTCATATTCTTTTATTGGTCACGAAGAACATGTCTGCTGCATACAGCAGGCTATTCTGCAGGATATTATTGTGTATTTTCCATTTCTGTTAGCACATAATATTGCTTTGTCTGCAGAAAGCTTTCAGGTGAAGAATGAGGGAACATTAAGCCACCAAGCCAGTCTTTATGAACCTCAGAATAAAAACATAATTTCTCCTTCAGTCAGTCACACAGGGCTAAATTTCTACTTCCCTTCCAAGCACTGGCACAGATGATTATTCTCAGTTAGAGGAATGTCCCCACCTGAGATAGGGTCTATCGCCCTCAGCCAAGGGACTGATCTATCCCATCTCCTCCTGGCACAGCCTCTTTTACTCCTAGTCTCACAGCTTGGCTTTCGTAAGGATGGTATCAAGCAGAACAAAACCAGAACACTGTGCACTTTGTAACTGAACTCTTGCTCTATTCAAGGAAAGAAACACATTTGATTTCTGAGTTCTTCAAAACTGTTCCCAGTGTGATGAAGGAGCATGATCCTCCAAAGACAGCTCAAACCCCTGAAAGTGCAATGTATTACAGATGTTCTGAAAAGTGACAAGGTGAAAAGCAAAAACTGCTTTCAAAGTGCAGCTGCATTTTGTCACCAAAATGTCACTGCAGGGAAGACGTGATATTTCAGATCTCTAGGTAAAAAGTGCTTCATTGCTTACAAGGTACAGCTTTAAAATGTGAATTTCAAATTTAAGAAAAACCTCTACCTGTCACAAGTTTTATGTCAGTATGACAGAGCCAAGTGCCTCGGAGTTTACTGTAGTTTCTCATTTTGCTTCTAATCCTGTTGCTGCCTTCTTTGCTCTCTATTCTTGACTCTCCCTCTCCAACATGATTCTACAATTATTACCTACCATCCCTCTGGCTTGGACATTCTGTTTGCATCTCTTACTGCATGACATCGACCTCCTCATCTCACATCCATCACTGCTCTGTCTTTCAGACACGGACAATGCAGTACCTAGACCAAGGCTGGGCTGGTTACTACTCCTCGTGCTGTTCCCCAGCCACAATGTGGCAGAAATAAACATCATCCCCACGTACAGTTAATGACCAGGGAAAAAATTCTGACATTCCATTTTACAGGCAGCCTCCCCAGTGCAAAATCCCAGAGAGATCTGGGATTAGTTCTCTATTTTAATGCCAGGAGGAGGTATCTGGGTATTAGTTAAAAACAGCTGTTAGCTGCTAAGAACAATAGAAAACTGAAGCCAGCATCCTTCATTGTGTCCCAGACTACTGAATCCTTTGAGACCGTAGAGCATCCTAGTTCCTACTCCTGGTTGTCCTGACCCTCATGTCACTCCATCTTCTAACCAACCAGCTAAAGATTTTGATTCTTCCCCTGCTTTCTCCCTGCTCTCTTCCTCACTTGCCAGGCCCAGAAATGAGCCTGCTTTGGTTACCCCTGAGAACATCTCCTTATTCCATGGCAGCGTACATCGTGTCGCCTGAGGAGTCCCAGATTTCCTGTTGGCTCTCAGCATGGTTTTCACATGCTTCCCGAAGCCACAGTCCCCGTTCACATATTCTGCAAAGCTGGCAACCCCTGGGGCTGTTGGCAGATCTTTGGCTCAAACTGTGTCCTACTATGTTGGACTGCACAGGTTCCCAGATGTTATTGTTTGAAAGGTAAGAGGTGAAAATCTTATGTATTGATGGAGGATGTTTGTGTAAAGGGATTCTCACTCTGTAATGCCCAGCAGGGAACAGATACAGGGCCCACTGTTTGCTAACTTGAACCTCTCCACTCCTTTGTGCTACCTCTTTCGAGCTGTTTTGCTGGCTGGCTGACAAGGCAGTTCTATTGTTATCCTAAAGACAAGTGGGAAGATATCTATGCTGCTCCAGTGACAATGAATATAAACGTATTTTGCAAAATGCTTTTGTCTCCTCCGCATCCTTGCACTTATTCTGTCAGCAGAGCTGCTGAGATTTCTGTCTTTGAGCAAAATAGATGCAAAAATTCCAGGAACTGCTCAGCAAGCAGAATGCTCACTGGCTTAGGCTGGGGTTAGAGGAGCTCGAAGTTTGGATCTGTGTTTTTGGGAGACAGCTTGGCAGGCAGTGCTTAGTGGAATAGCCTTAGAGGGGAAAAAAAAAAATCAACTCAAAACCAGATGGCAAATTTTATGTGGTTCATTAACTGAATTTTACTGAGATTGTTGTACCTAAAGTGAACAGCAGTGGACTTAGTGTCTTCCTATTCCTTACAAAAAACATTCCAGCTTTGGAGCTTCAAAAATAGTGCAGTTAGGGCAGTGAGACACTCAGCTACAAGGTTCAAGGGGAAAACCTTCACAGGGAAATAGTGGGTGCTCCAGCAGCTCTTTTGTGTCTCTACTGACCATGCCACTTAGGCTGCATGAGCCTATTTTCTGTTTTAACCGTTGAAGAAAAGGAATAATTCTCTGCAAACAATCTTACAGAGGTAGTACAGGTCCCCACCCCATCTTTCAAAGTCACTGCTTATTCTTCCCACCTCAACTGTCATCTCCCCGCTGTCCAAGGAGAACCTAAAGGTAACCCAGAGCTCTTCCCTACAATCCCTGGCTCAGCACCACAGGGCACTGCTAAGCAAGAAAGAAGAAAGGAGACTAGCATCCAGTCATTTAACTCAAATTCCTGCCAGACCATGGAAGAAATACTGAGGTTTGGCAGTCCTGTGATTCAGCACAGAACACTGAAATCCCTCAGAGGAAGCTGAGGCACATTTTGGATTCTGCTGAAACCTTTCCACCAACTGAGCTGGGACCAGAATTTCACTCTCTGTCCCCAGGCTGACTGCAGCTGTTTCTCTGAGCACACGGCCAGCTCCTCTGAAAAT